GACCTGTTTGGTGGATGGATTTCTGCCTCCACTCAGCAAGGACTCCCTTCTGTGGGGCCTGGAAGCCAGGGCACGTGAATCATCAGAGCTGAAAATAATGGAAGGGACTATCTATCTCATCTCTTACACTTTCCCAGGCCCTGAGAGGAGGATGGACAAACCCAGGGAGATATAGCTAGCTAGTGAGCTAGGCCCAGTGCCCCCCTGCCAGCTCCTCCACCCCACCACTGAGGTGAGTCCAAGGAGGAGGCAGGGAGCAGGAGGGTTAGAAGCATGGGCTCCAGTTTGTTCTTTTTCATGGCTGAGTAATACTCCATTATGTATCTACACACATTTCTTTATCCAGTCATTTGTCAGTGGACACTTAGGTTGCTTCCATATCTTGGCTACTGTAATTAATGCTGCTATGAACATTGGGGTGCATGTATCTTTTCAAATTAGTGGGGGTTGTTTTTGGTTATATACCCAGGAGTGGAATTGCTGGGTCATATGGCAGTTCTATTTTTAGTTCCTGGAGGGCATCATGCTAAGTGAAATAAGTCAGACAGAGAAAGGCAAGAACTGTATGCTATAACTTATATGTGGACTCTCAAACATACAACCAACTAGTGAATATAACAAAAAAAAGAAACAGACTCACAGATGTAGAGAACAAACTAGTGGCTGTCAGTGGGGAGAGGGAAGGGGGAGGGGAAGTATAAGGGTCGGGGAGTAAGAGGTATATAAACTCTTAGATATAAATTAAGCTACAAGGACATATTATACAACATGGGGGATATAGTCAATATTTTATAATAAGTATAAATGGAATTCTTACTCATGTTTCTCTTCATATTTGTATGAAGTTTTCTCTTCTTACTAAAGATAATTATAAACGGAGTATAGCCTTTAAAAATTGTGAATCACTGTATTGTACACCTGTAACTTATATACTATTGTACAGCAACCATACTTCAATTTTAAAAAAAAACTTTTTTAAATAAAAAATTTGAAAATGAAAGAAGCACGGGCTCCAGGCTCAGGCAGCCCTGGTCCGAGGTCCTGGCTGGCCACCTCAGTGGGGCGGAGCGGCAGCTTCTCCAGGAGGAGTGAAAGGCATTTGACATTTCGCCTCCACCCAGGCTGGCCCCCCCTCCACGAAGGATAAACAGACTCTTTCGGGTTTCCAAGGTCTGAGTCCTTCCTTTTAGGATCTAAGACCTTGTTGTAGCGGGAAGGCAGTAGGATACGCTTTTCTTACTTTACACAATGTCGGGGTCTGGAGATATGAAGACAGACCTACAGGGAAATGAGAGAAGGACTCTGAATCTAGGCCACTGGCCTTAGAGAGGCCAGTGGACTAGGGCAATGGCTCTCAGCTGGGCGGCTCTACCCCCAGGGGACACCTGACCTTGTCTCGAGACACATGGGTGCCATGACTGGGGGCTGCTACTGGCATCTGGTAGGTAGAGACCAGCGATGTGGCTACACATCCGTGCACAGGACAACCCCCCAACGATGAAAACAATCCAGTTCAAAATGTCAGTGCCGCGGAGGCCGAGAAGCCCTGGGCTGGGGTGGGTGGCGGGGAGGCTGGGAGGGGCAGCCTGTGCGCTCCCAGGAGCGGAGGCCAGGGCCCCGGTCTGCTCAGCCTGGGGGTGGGTCTTGGCTCTGCCTGGGCTTCAAGACCTTCTCCGCTAACTGGCTGGTCCCCAAGTCAGGATGTTTCCCCCAGAAACGCCCCCAGGGCACAAACAAGCTCCGGGAGACAGGGATGGGGGCAGACCAGGACACCTGAGCACACTCTGAAATGGGAACAGTGGAAAGTGTTCAAGCAGAGTTCCCTGGCAAGGTCTGTGGCGACAGAGGTTGCTGGAAGATTGTCATGACCGGCTGGGACTCAGCTGATGTCTCCAAAAGCATCAAAGCAGAAATGACTCCGACCAGCTGCTCGTGTCGGTGATTATTTGGCTGCCTGTGAGACAGTTTAAGAGATGATTTGTGAATTTAAATTTTAATTAAGGCAGACGCCCTTGGGGGCCTCTGGAGTTCAAGCATGAAAAAGAAAAGTCTACAGCTGGAAGGAGAGGGTTCAGAGGGCCCCAGGGCCTGGAGGAAGTGCATTTGTACCTGTCCCATGGTCTGGCCGCCTAAGGCCACTGTTCACACTGGGATTGGGAGTCAGGGCTGAACAACTCAACAGAACTGTGCAATTTGGTGTTCTAGAAATTTCTGTAAGTGAAATAATAAAAGTAAGGAAAGCATGCAAATTTTCCACTTCTTTCTTAAGTTCTAATCTTTAAAATGAGCTACACTGCCCACTTCACTAACACTGGATCCAGCATTAGAATTCCCAGGATCTGGTCTCCACTCCATCACCGATGCCCCAAATGATCTTGGATGTCCCATTAATCATGCTGAGTTTGGTTTTTCCATGTGGGATGAATACTGCCACCCCTGCTTACCTCACAGGGCCGTTTGCAGCCTCCATCCTAGGGGAGGTGAATCCATTTTGCAACAGGCACACTCTGGCAGGTTCATCCCGCTCACCTGATACCCCTTGAGGTCTGGCAAAAGCACTCTTTTATTTCTCAAAGATGCTAGGGCCAAAGAGAGAGAAAAAAAAAAGCCCAATCTGAGACAAAAGTACAATCCTGGCAAAAAAATGTGCAGACAGCATTCTCCCTCAGGGCTAACTACACTGGATCCTAGAGACATGGGTTCAAGTCCTAAGTCCACCACAGATAGTTTTTTAAATTATTCTAGCAACAAACGTAACAGTAAATTTATCATTTTAACCATTTTTAAGTGTCCAGTTCGATAGTGCTAAGCATTGACACATTGTTTGGCACCACATATCTAAGACTTCTACATCTTGCAAAACTGACACTCTGCACCCACTGAACACTAATTCCCATTGCTCCTAGCTCCTGGCCCCTATCTCTCCATCTCCTGTTCCTATGACTTTGATGGCTTCAGATACTGCATGTGGGTGGAATTATGCAGTATTTGTCCTTTTGTGGCTGGATTATTTCACTGAGCATAATGTCCTCCAGCTTCACCTGTGTTACAGCAAGTATCAGAAATTCCTTCATTTTTGAAGGCTGAATAATATTCCTTTGCATGTATGTATCACGTTCTCTTTATCCACGCATTTATTGATGAATATTTGAGTTGGTTCCACTTCTTTGCTATTGCCACTATGGCTACAATGAACATGGCTGTACAAAGACCTCTTCGAGATTCTGCACTTTTTTGGCATTTTGGTGTTTTATTTATCCTAAGTTTGTTTTCCATGCTGTATGATTATATTTATTTATTTTCCCAGATTTATTGAGGTATGATTGACAAATGAAAATTGTATCTATTTAAGGCATACAGCGTAAGATTTAATGTACATATATATTGTGAAATGATAACCACAGTTGAGTTAATTAACGCATCTCTCACCTCACATAGCTACCATTTTTTTGTGGACACTGTAGATCTGCTCTTTTAGCAAATTTAAAGTACGCAATACAGTATTATTAACTACAGTCACCAGGTTGTATGATTCACCTTACAATGGAAAGTTTGACAAACAAGCTCTCCTTTAATCAATATCCCTCCATTCCCCATCCCCCAGCCCCAGCCCCTGGAAACCACAATTCTGCTCTCTGGTTCCATGAGTCTGACTTGTTTAGATTGCAAGAAAATGTGGGAAATATATACAGTGGAATAAAAAAGAAGGAAACCTTGCCATTTGTGACAACTTGGAAGAAACTGGAGGACATTATGCTAAGTGAAATAAGTCAGACACAGAAAAACAAACATCGTATGATCTCACTTCAATGTGGCATCTAAAAAAGTCAAGGTGCCGCCTTGAATTTTGAGTAGCACGCATCCAGCAGGGGGGTCGCTGGATCACGTGGGAGTTCTATTTTTTATTTTCTGAGGCACCCCCTTACTGCTTTTCATAATGGCTGCCCTATTTTACATTCCCACCAACAGGGCACAGGGTTTCCGATATCTCTGCATCCTCGACCGCATTTGTCTTTTTCTGTTCTTTTGAAAGCAGCCATCCTAATGTGTGTGAGGTCACTACAGAGAGTTTTGAGAAACTCAGCACCCCTCTCTGGGTCAGGACAAGGGAAACCAGCCGAACTGGTTCAGGAGATCTTTCATCTTGCTCTCAGCTCTAAAAAAAAAAAATCTCAGTTGGCAAATCAGTTTCAGGGTAGGGGGTCAAATGAGATCATGGACATGATAAGACCACCTTTGTCAGTGGAGAAGGGCTACAGAGCTGTTGGAGACCAGATCATGTAGAGGCTAAGCGAGCGGGTTTGATGGTTAGACTACCCGAGGTTCCGTGCTCAGACATGCTGACCACAGCCGTGCGTGACGTTGTGCGTTTCTCAGCAGTGAGCTGCAGGCGCTCCTCACCCCACACAAGCCAGAAGGGTGCTGCTCCTTGCTCAGAGCGGGAGCTGAAACCATTCCAATAACAAATGAGGCTCCAAGAACTGCACACTTTACATAGGCTGATTATACAGTCTGTCACTTCTATCTCAATAAACTGTCTTTTTTTTTTTAATGAGGCACCTACAGTTTCTTCCATAAGGTCCAGATACTTACTGTTAAGGGAAACACAGAATCCCAGAAAGGACTCGGCCTCCAGGGTCAGACACACCTGGACACTTTTGAATCTCAGCTCAGCCTCCTGGTTATTGGGAGATTTTAACCCTCTCTGAGCTTTTTCTGGTTTACTCAGCTGGAACACATGGATTTTTTAAATTACTGTTCAAGATTGTCCTAGCACATATAATGTATCTGCCTGCCATGTGATAGATGTTCGAGAAATGGTAACTACGATTTTTGTGCTGTCATCCTTCCCTAAGAAATGTGGTCCTCCTGAAGGTAACAGTGTAGCCCGAGGGCCTCCAGATATAGGAGGAAGAGGTGGGAGAAAGCGGGGCGAAGGCTGGATTTTGTGTTCACAAACACTCCTTTCCCAGAAACAAGGTATTTGTCAAAGTGGTGTACCAGAGTCTTGCTTACTGTCAAAACACAAAGGCTAATTACATTTGAAGAACAATGGGCTACAAGAGCAGAAAAGACGGGGCCTGTTCAATTAAAGGGGAGAATGGAAGGGTGGTGTCTAGCATACAATTTTTTGGACATCGGATTGGAGTGGTTTAATTAGCTATCACTACGGACTTTGGATCATCTGTTGTTCTAGAAGCCATTAGTCATCTGTAGCTTTTAAGCGTATCATTTCAGTTCTCTCATTCAACAAATGCTTTCTGAGAGCCCGATCCACGCCAAGCACTGGGCTCAACACTGGGGACACAGCACAGTGTAGCGGAAGACGGATGGCTTGGCCCACCAATGGGCATCTTGAACTGATTCTGTCTCCAACGGAGCTCTAGATTTTTCCAACTCATGCCCCTCCGCCATCTTCCATCTTTCAGTAAAAGGCCTCTGCCTCTGTCCTGCTGTTCATGTCCAAAACCATGGAGTCATCCTTGAGTGCTCCCTTCCTACGTGACCTCACCTGCAATCTATCAAGTCCTGTTGGATCCAGCGCCATGAGAGCTCTTGATTCCATCCTCTTCTCTGCAGGCTCATGGCCACTACCCCCAGTCCAAGGTACCAGCTCAGCAAAGGCCACCCTTAAGAAAAAAAGTGGCTTTGTTTTACAATAACTATCAATGGGCCATAACCTTTAAAAATTGTCAATCACTATGTTGTACACCTGTAACTTTTATGACCTTGTACATCAACTATACCTCAATAAAAAAAAAAGAAAAAAAGTGGGTTTTTTCTGTGTCTATACCTGCATCCCATTGCATTGCACACAACATCTGGGGAGATCTTTTAAAAGAATCACATCATGAATCATGAATCACATCATGCCAGTCCTCTGCTGACAACACTTCACATCTTCCCACTGCTCTGATATTGGATTCCAGAATCCCTGATGTGGCCTCCAGGTTTCCACATGATCTGTCCCCACCTCCTCCCATAACCTCATCCCAGAATTCACTCCTTTTTTTTTTTTCTTTTTTTTTTTGGCGGAGGAGGGAGGTAATTAGGTTTATTTATTTATTTTAGAGGAGGTACTGGGGGATTGAACCCAGGACCTCATACATGCTAAGCATGCGCTCTATCACTCGAGCTATACCCTCCCCCTAGAATTCACTCCTGATTATTGACTCGGCTCATCGAACCTTTTCTTGCTTCCAAGTTTTTGCCCTGCTGTTCCCTTGGCACTCTTCTTTCTCCATCTATTCCCAGTTCCTTTCCATCTTTTAGGTGGAATGTTACTTCCTCAAAGACTTCACTGTGTAAGCGACTTCTCCCAGCTACTCCCTAGCTCACACCTATTTGTTTCTTACACAGCATTCTCTCCATTGATAACCATCTGTTGGTTCATTGGACATCATTCTTCCACAAGTCCAGATGGAAGAGCCTTTGTCTGTCTCATTCACGGTTGTACTCCCAGTGCCTGTAACAGTGCCTGGCACATAAACGCCCAACAACTAACCATTAATTGGCCGGATGAATGGAGGTGATGATGTGCAGGGCAGTCTAAGAGCTCAGGAGAGGATGTAAAAAGCTCCAGACAGGATGGAACTGTCAATGAAGAGGTGCTACGAGCTAGGCTCAAAACGCTGAAAAGGAGTTTTCTTGATGAACAAAGGCAGAAAAGCAGGAGCAGGATGAGGATAGAGGACTGACAGAGCAGAGGGTAAAATGCCTCACAGCCAAAGATCTACTACTGAATGTGCCCCAGGCACAGAGTCGCCTGGAGAGAGTGAAATTTACAACTAATTCCAAGCTCAGTCACCACCTCACGAATAGGGGGATGGAAATGAGAGTCAATGCTCCAACACCTGGGAGAGAGTGGTTCAGACTCAGAACATAACGGAGTCCTGGGACCACTTCATGGGGCTTAAGCTGCAAGAGGTGATGAGTCATATTTTCTGGTCCCAGGGTATCGCGAGGTGAGAATCTCATTCTGCAGCTGAGCCTTGAGGAAGAACAGGATCTCACCCCATCCCTCTACAAATGGAGCGTCTATGATCCTGGCTCAGGTTCCCTGGGGCTTGCAATCAGTTCTTACTCAATTCTTGCCTACACTGCAAATCTCAGTGGAGATGTGAGCATGTCCTGAGTCCTGCCCCCATGTTAACCCGGTTAATCTGTAACTCGGCTGGCCAGCCTTGGATAACTAAATATTGAAGGCAGGGTTGGGTGCAGGTTGGGGAGTAGCAAGAACTGAATCTATACAGGAGACAAGAAGTAGGGCATTTTGTCCTGGTATCTGTACAGGGACTTTAGGCAGGGCAGTGACCAAGAGATGATTATGAGTAAAGTTGCTCTGGCCACAGAGCAGCGCTTGGACTACAGAAAGAGAGACCAGAGAAATGGAGTGCAGGAAGGAAAGCTGGACTTTTGAGGCATATTTGAGAAGTAAAACTGATAAGGACTGGGGTGGTCACTGGATGTGATAAGAAGAGACAAGGGAGGAATCTGGGATGATGCCCGAATAACAAGCTTATGTCATTGGGTAAATTCAGCCGTTAATCAAAATGGGTGACTTCATCAAATAAGTAGACTCTGGACACTTCAGAGACTTTCTAGGTAACACATTTCTCCTTGGATTTCCATCATGGCAAGGATCTCTGCATCTTCCAGTGGTGGGCTTCATTATTTGTGCATAACGATTTGTACCCTACCCACTCTTACCAAGCTCTCCCTGCCCTGTTGTCACTGGGCCTGGCAGCCAGGGGACCTGTCTTGACCAGTGGAAGGTGAGCAGATGTGAGGCACACCATATCCAAGCAAAAGTTGTAAGTACACTCCTGCGGTTTGGTTCTGCCCCTTTTGAGCTTCCATCACCCAGCAAGAGATCAGCGCGCCCTAGACGATGGTTGTTCCTTGAGAAAACACATGGAGCAGGGCCAGCCTGGCCCAGCCCAGGAGAGCCAGGGGCAACCTGCAGCTCTGACAGAATATAAGCTAGAAACTTACACCTCTGGGATTGGAGGCTGTTTGACCAATTAGAACACTGCAACGTTTGGGCCATAGAGATTGGTCTGAGGATAAACATGTGAACCAGGTTCAACCAATGAGAGTCTTCCCTGAAACTTTTGCTGGCATTATCAGGACAAAGGAAGAAAAATTCTAATAACTTACTGTGAATAAAGCAGGAAAAGCTGACTATGACATTTCCAAAGTCTCAGTGACCTCCTGCAAGTGACTTACTCTCTCTGGTTTCTAATTCCCTCATGGGTGAATTTGCACTAGATGATTCCAAACTCCTTCCTAGTTAAAAATTATGAGGTTTTGGTTAAGATTGTGTCACTTTTCTAGAGTATAGTATTGTTTGGGGGTTCAATCTTTTTTTTTCTCCTTTTCCAACTATACAAGTTAATTAGGCAAACTTATGAAACTCCAGACAGGCAGTTAACGATGCCAAACTAGCTAGCACAAGAGCAGAGAGCAAAGGTCTGGGATGGTTTAAGCTGCTGCAGCAGAACTTCTATTCTGAAGTCCCAGAGATTAGGGGGAAAAGAAAAAAAAAACTACAGAGCACAAAACTGCCGCATTCAGCGGCCCTGGTTATTTATATGAGCATCTCCCAGTTCGAATTCCATGTTCAAATCAAATTTCCCTGGTTTATGCCTTCTTCAGCAATTACTTAAAGGCAGTTTACCTCTCTCTGGAGGAACATAGTAGAAAGGCCTACAGACAAAATCTCATTGACTCAGAGGAAGATACACAAACTCCAGGCCTGATGCTGCAGAAGTCACTTTTCCCATGGAAGTGAACACTGATGGGCCCTCTGGCTGTTTTTCAGCCTCACTGATGAGAAAGCATTCTCTAAAGAGGAGGGTGAGGCCCGTGGAAATTGAAGGGAAATTGAAGGGAAATTGAATGGGGGGTGGCGAGAAAGGGACCACTCTCTCTTCACAAAGTTCCTTCTGTGGGGGGTGAACAGACTAACAGCCAAAGCTGTCCCCACTTCAGTGTGACTGAGAGAAGTCAAAGGGGGACTGGGAGACCGTGATCATTTCTGCACCAGAAAGTTTCTGGGTTCTTGAAAACTCACCCTAAACAAGATAAGCCCCACCAAAAAAACTACGCCATGGGCAAAATTTATCTTCTTTGTACCATCATCTTGTCCTTGTTCACTTTTCACCATCTGGACAGATTCTCCCATCCTCCACTAAAGCAGCATCATTTGTTCATTCATTTACTCCAGGGAGGGTTCTCATTGGTTGGGCTTGGGTCACATGATCACCCTCAAGCCAATCACTATGGCCCAGGATAATGAAGTGTTCTGATTGGTCAGGTCATGCTTCCATTAATTTGTTTTCCTAGTCACTAATTCTATCTTACATTTCGTTCCTCACTCAGTTGTTCAATGTGATGAACCTTATCTTGGTTTGCCTGCCTGCCACCTGCCACCATTTCTTTTAGTAACAGCACTTTGGATTTATAGAGGGGGTTAGTTCCCCACTGTTCCCGGCACATAGAGTAGGAGTGAAGGCTCTACTCACACCCTCTACTCCATTTCCTCCATGCTAGAGTTAAACACCTGACACAGGCCTGACCAGTCAGAACACTGCAATATTTGGGCCATACTGATTGGTCTGAGGATAAGCATGTGGCTCAGGTTCAACCAATGAGAGTCTTCCCTGAAACCCTGCTAGAATTATCAGAAAAAAGGAAGAGAAATTCTAATAACTTACTGTGAATAAATGGATCAAGACAGAAAGCAGCAACATAAATAAAACATCCTAGTTGCACAAAACATAACAGAAAGAAGAATCGGAGCTGTGATTTTTGGTGTGATGCTTGGAAAACCTTGAGCAAGTCATCTTAATGAACATGTCTCCTCATCTGAAAGATGGAAATGACAATGACCATTCTCATGCCTAATAGTCTATGAATATGCCACGCCTGCTCTCCCATCCAAGTAGCTGGAAGCAAAGAACTTTGAGATGGTGGACTTGCAAGATGGAAGCATCCTGGACCTCTGAGTCACTGTTCAATGAGAAAAGCCAAGGAGAGCCGCCTGAACCACTCCGATGGTGATGCGAAAGAGATGCGCATCTTTGTTGTGTTAAACCAGAAATATGGGGTTTATTTTACTGCAGCATAGCCAAGCCTAGACTGACTAATGTAATAGCCAGGGATCCAGTTATTCACAGATGCCTGGCAAGTCTATGATATGAGGCTATTTTGCCCAGAGGTGACTTTGAATGATGTGTTCTGAGGCAGGCATATGGTAGCAAAGGAAACAGATACTACTTCTGCAGCCCAGTATCTATTTCCAGGACACTTCAGTGGTTTGTGAGAATAAGAATATTTGAAATTGGGGCTCTTCCTATAGTCTACCCTAAGTCTGTGGGGATTATGAAGTAATTTCAATGTATCACCAGGAAAAGATAAGGACCAACCATTGAAAGGGACACATTTGAACAAGCCACCTAAGTTAAATGGCATACTGAAAAAGGAGGCAGGCAGAGGTGAGGCAAATTTGGAACCTACAAGATTCTTAATATCTTAATTGGTAATATTCTCTGCAATGGAGGAAATATACACACCGTGATTGAAATCATGAGCTTCCGAATTAGCTTAATGCAACGAGGATTAAATG